AATGTGTTTGAGGACTAACTTGCTCCGGACAAAGATAAAGTTCTGTCTGCGCTGGTATCGTTCTCATCAGAAGAGGAAGCTCTGCAACTGGAAGCCCCCGAGGATCTCCTGACGTCTGTCAACGAGGTACTTAGCCGTCAGTTGGCAGCGTTCCTGACCGGGGACTTCGCCAAGCCCACTCCAGAGATGCTCAGCAAAGCTGCCTGTGCACCAAGTAACAACATGGCCTCCGAGAGAAACCTTGAACTTCTGGAAAAACTTTTGAGGAGGGCTCCAAACACTACCACAGGGTTCCTTTGTGGTAAAGTAAAATGCCGTATGAACAGGACCCTGGAGTGGCTCTGGTCAAAGGAGACTGCAGAGCAGGATTCTTTAAGGCCTTCCGCGGGTCTAGGAGGGGGGCGAAAAATCGTCCAAATCATCTCTGCCTTTCAATTCAACAATTGTGAGTTGAGCACTTGATGTGAGTGTGTTATCGTATTGATGCATTGTTGAGTCTTGTGTGCGCTATGCACGTAGACTAGATCTAGATCTAGAATTCCAATTAGAGATTATACTGTGGGCTTTATCATTTCTCCATGAAATAAGGTGATGTTTGTGCTGTAGTTCGGAAGAGTGGAAATTACTATAGTATAAAAATTTAGTAGTTGGCAGGTTGGATTCTCCATCCATAGATCTAGAATCTAGATTCAGAGTGATTTCTTACTGAGAGACCACCCAAGCATTGTGATGTTAGGTATCGTATGCAATGACTATCTTGGAATATGTATCAAGATAGGGAAGTTGCGTTGCGGGAGGAATTCCGTAATGAGCTACCACTATGAAACAGTGTAGAAGTGATGGTTAGGGGTAGGGGTACGGGTAGGGTAAAGGGTTGGGTAAGGGTTAGGTCTCTCCTGTATTGTATTTGTTGGGGTGGTCGCGCGTTATGGAAGTCTTTCCAGCGTTGCTGAGCAACTGTATGTTGATTTTGATATTATTATACTTACGAAGATGTATTTTCTATTTCATTCTCAGCCCATTGTCCGCTATGCCTGCGACAAAGTCTCATTCAAGAAGTGAGAGCAAACGTGGTCGAACTTCTAAAAGCCGAAAGGAGGCTTTGAAAAAGGCACGAGCAGCAAGACAGATTGAGAAAGTTCCAGATGAGTTGAGTGCTGAGTTTCAAGTTGCGCAACCAGCTGTTTCAACATCTGGGTCTCCGCCACCATCGTCTTCGTCCTCATCAGTACCTGAAGCAGCCCCGTCTCTTCCTGTACCAAGCACTTCACTCTCTGCATCATCACGCAAGCTGGCGTATAACGCTGAACGACACGGTGCTTCTTCTGAGTTTCTGGGCTCCACTGTTGTTGAGCTGGCAACGCTGAGACCTTTGTTTGAGAATTTACTCTGTCCCCAGTGCACGACAGCTTCGTTGAAACTGACCTGTGATTCGAAGAAGACATCCGGACGAGCAGTATTCCTGGAGATTTACTGCACAACCTGTGAGCAAGCCGTCTCTGTGAACTACACCTCCGGTAAAACCAACAAAGTGTTCACTGTGAATCGCCGTGTCATTGTGTCCTCATTGGTGAATGGAAGTGGTTATGCTGGCCTGGCAAAGTTTTGTGAAGCCATGGATATGCCTACTGTCCACCACAAGACTTACCTGAATCACCAAAAGAAAATTCACCAGCAGTCAGTGGCCAGCTCAGATAAAATTCTTTTGGATACTCGTGATGCTATCGCTAGAGCATATCCGAAGCAGGAAGGAAATGGTGTCCTGGACATTGACGTTTCCTAAGATGGCAGTTGGCACACTCGGGGACACACTTCGAATTCAGGAGTCGGCTGCGTCATAGAAAACCGAACTGGCCTCGTCATTGACTTTCAAGTGTTGAGCAAACACTGCCACAAGTGTAAGGCGGTCGGGGCACACCTGGAAGGGGAGGCGTATGAGTGATTTTGGACTGCTCACAAGGATGAGTGTGACCGTAATCACACTGGCTCGTCAGGCAGTATGGAGCAGAAAGCGGCTGTCATGTTGTGGCAGAGGTCAGAACAGAGGGGCTTCCGTTACCGGAGTGTGGTCTGCGATGGAGATACCAACACGATCAAGCAGATCAATGAAGTCCAGCCATATGCCGACGTCACAGTTGAAAAGAAAGAGTGCGTGAACCACGTCGCCAAGCGCCTTGGAACAGCCCTTAGAAAGCTTGTAGAGGACAAGAAGAAGGTGAAGGTTACCCTCGGGGGGCATGGAAAGGGCAAGCTGACTCAGGCCAAGATCGGGAAGGTCCAGAAGTACTACACCAGAGCTGTTCGTTCACACAGCACTGTGGCTGAGATGAAGACGGCAATCTGGGCTTCATTTTACCATTGCTCATCGACAAACACCAAGCCACGTCACGACGATTGCCCTACAGGTACACAATCCTGGTATTTTTTTCAGAAGGCAAGCGCCAAGGGGTTGCCGCACCCTGACCATGGCAAGCACATGTCGACGTTTATTAGTGAGTTTGTTGCGGAGCACATGATTCCTGTCTACACCCGCCTGACTGATGACGAGCTGTTGTCCAGATGCACAGGTGGAAATACTCAGAACGCCAATGAAAGTGTTCACTCTGTCATCTGGGCGCGGTGTCCCAAGCATGTTTTCGTTGGCCGACAGACGTTGGAAATTGCAGTAGGACTTGGAGTGGGTGAGTTCAACCAAGGCGCTGGGGCGGCACACTGCTTTCTCCAAGAACTTGGACTCACGATTGGCGTCAATACCAAAAAGTGTGGAGGCCAGAGAGACTCTATTCGAAAACGGAAGGCAGAAAAGGCTAATGAAAGTGTTGCGAAGAGAAGGAGGGACATCAGGAGAACAGCGCAACTTCGGGAGGAACAGCGGCTTATTGAAGCAGAAGGTGGAGAGCAGTACTCTGCTGGCGGTTTCTAAATTGGATTATATTTTCAACAGTGAGTACCAAAATGCATGTAGTGTGAAGTCATTTTATTGTTACTTGTTGTTTTTTTTTTTTGTTAATCTAACAGTGAATGGATGTACTCTACTAATTTGCATGATTGGAGTATCAAATTTTCCTGTGATGTTCAATTTTTTGCATTTTTGTACTCTTTCCTCGTTTTCTCAGTTCGTGCTTTTTCTTGGGGGGTGGGTTTACAAAGAAGGCCATTTCACAGAAACCAATAGTCAGATTGTCTTGCAATTTGGCACACACTTTCACAAGTGCCATGGCTATGCTCTGTATTGTATTGTAGTATAGGGTTTTATGGCGCTCGCAACTGCTAAGGTCATATGAGCGCGCGGCTATGCTCTGATAACAGGATTTGATAGTTACTTAATTTTTGTATGAGTTACATTGTTGTTTTGGGGGAAAAAATTTGAAAAAGGTGTGAATGCTGAAACAACTAGCAGAGCACTTACTTCGACCACCACTGTCAGAAAAATAATGAATCTACAGTAAAACCCTGTTATACATACATGCCACAGGGTATTATCCATACGCACATGCAGTTTTGTGAAGTTTCAACAAAGGATAGTGGAGATATTACCTTCTTTGTTATGTAATGATTTTGATACCCGAGACCCCTAAATGATCCAGTAAAGAGTCAAAAAGAAAACAATTGTGGTAAAACTGTACCAATATGTCAAAAATTAACCCCTTGTTAACATTCTATGATGCCTCAAATCCTTTAAATGCAGGTGATTAATCAAATCACTCTCAATGTAGCTTCCCCCCTTAATTTCTTTTGCTGTGGCAGAGGCACGGTGTAAGAGAACTCGCCAGTTTCTCCAAAGTAAGTTTAGTAAGATTTTCAGCTCGGAGACGAGGTAGAGGAGGAGAGAGGTGTCCTCACAGCGTGAGAATAAACAGAGAAACTGTTATAAGCGGTCTATTAGCCAAGCATTTAAGTCTGGCAGTGCGTGTTCGTTGGACATATAAATGCGACCAGTCTTTTGTGAAACGAATAGAAGCATTTATTCAAGAGCCTGTGTCTTTTGTAGGGTCATTAATGATCCATACTGTTGAGCACAAAGAATGGTATGCTCGAATTAACTTTGTTCATTCCCCAAAGACTTTTTACTTTTACTTTTATCCGCGACCTATACCCTTTTGGGTGTCGCGGGAAGAAAGAGATGTCTCTCTGTCGCCAGCTGGAGAGCATGGGTCAGGGGGATGCCATGGGCGGAAAACACATTACACTCTAACTCGCCCGGGATCGACGGGGAATTTCCTTACGTGCTCCACTCTAGCTCGCCCGGAACTGCCCGCGTCTTTAAAAATGTAGTCTGGGATTTTGATTTGCATAGTTATTGCAAAAAGTTTCTTCTTTCGTTTGATGCAGAAACGAAATTTTTGGGGCCAGTAGTTTTAGTATTGTCACAACAGCAAAACTTGTAAACAAACATGTCATCAAGCGGAGGAGGGGGGGAACCTTTTGTGTGTGGGCTATAAAGATGGATCAAAGCAGCCAACTCTACTGTCAACAAAAGCAAAAGCAGGATTTTGTACAGCTACCACTAGCAAAGGCAAGGAAAAAAAGGCTGCCAAAGGTAATTAAGTTGTACAATGAATCAATGGGGGGGGGTTGACATGAGTGACGCTCGGTTGTATGCATACCTGTCAGAGCGTTGAACAATGAAGTGGACTCATAATAGGCAAAGCCCACTCCAGAGATGCTCAGCAAAGCTGCCTGTGCACCAAGTAACAACATGGCCTCCGAGAGAAACCTTGGACTTCTGGAAAAACTTGGAAGATGTATCTTGAATACATTCATTATCTTCAAAGAGAACAACTCTACTATCCATGGTTTTTCTCGCTATCAATTCCCTGTGTTAGTCGTGGAGGAATTGATGGGAAACCACAAACCCCCAGGAAAGGCAGGCAGAAAGCGACGCTCGACAACTGAAATAAACCAAGCTAAGGGACAGGTAATCAACCTGTCCCCGTGGTTTTATGCATCCCGCATAATTTAGCAAAATTTGATCTTTTTTTTTCCATAATTTCTTATTATATTCCTTTATCGCTCTTTTTTAAAATTAACAGAATCGCATAATTTCTCATTTTTGGGCTCAGTTTTGCATAATTTCAGAATTTTTCTTGCATAAAACGACGGGGACAGATCAACCCCCCTGCCACAGATGTGCAGTCAGTGGCTTCTACATGCACCTTAAAGAAACTGCCTGTGGGGAAGAAAAGAGACTGGGTCAACAAACAACCAAAGAGAATTAGATCTGCCTATTAGTGCCCCTCCTGTGATGTTGGCCTGTGTCCAGAATGTTTCATGCCATACCACCGGGACCACAAATTACTGTAATGTGAATAGAAACTTGTTTTTTTCTGTTTGTTTAGCTAAGAGCCCACGATTCAATTTTTCTAAAAGAGCAAAACTTGGAGCTGCTTTCATTAAAAACAATTTTTAAAATTTTTTTTCGTTTTTCATATATATTAATTTTTTCATGTTCGGCACATTTTTTTAAAAAACTCCCTTGAAAGACCTTGTTATCTCCCTGGATCAATATATTAACTCATTCACTGAAATTTCACAGCTGTACCTGGTTTACAGTTTGATGTGGAACAAGTCAACACCCCCAAGTCCATATATGAACTTTTCATCACGCCTAACATCGTGAAATATTTCAAAACGGACACTAATAGATTTGCCCGTCAAACCATCTCAGCTCGGAGAGACAGTGGAGACCTCAAAGAGAACAGTCGTCTGAGTGACTGGAAACCCGTGACAGAGCTTGAGATCCAAGGCTTCCTGCTTCTCCTCCTTCATATGTCCCTTGTCCCCAAACACCAAATAGAGGACTGTTGGAGTCAGAGGGGCATTCTTCACAGCCCTTTTGCCAGTAAGATCATGCGTGAAATCGCTTCCAGAACATCCTCGCAATGTTCCATCTAAACGACAATGACAGATACGTTGCCCCAGGTCAGGAAGGACATGATCCTCTCTTCAAGATTAGGCCATTCTACGATCACCTGAGAACAGTTTTCCCAACTCTCTTTACCCCTGACAAGAACCTGGCCATCGATGAGGCCATATGTGGGTGGCGAGGTAAACTTCGCTTCAAAATCTACATAAAAGATAAACCTGTCTCCAGGGGAATCAAGCTGTATATGCTCACTGACAGTAACAGTGCCTACGTCTACTCTTTTGAGATCTACGCCATGGAGGCCCACCTTTCAAACAAGACTCATGATGAGTGTATGAGAATCGTCGATCCTCTCCTGGACAAGGGATACCATTTATATGCCAATAATTATTATACTTCCCCTCTTCTCGCATCACAACTCGTCGCAAGAAACACCATGCTAATTGGCACTGTCCTCGCCAACAGAAAAGGACTGCCAAAACAACTCATAAAGCAGCCCATTCAGAAAGGAGAAGTTGTCTACAAACGGAAAGGTAGCCTCGTTGCCTTGAAGTGCGCGACACTCATTTCATTCATTAAATGTATCACAAAAATTTTTTTCTGATTTGTTTAGTATGTTTCAATGTCATTGTTTGTGGAAAATTTCAATGCTGTACTCATAATAATAAGCTCACAGTGAAGTTTTGAAAAAGGTCCATAAAGCCTGGCATTCCTCAGTTGTCCAGCTGAGAAATGCCCGGCAGTGAGTTAATAAAATAACACCTTTATTGCAATTCTTGTTCAATTACCTTTCAGGAAATATATACTTATATGGGTTTATCTGTTTAAATAAAATCTGGAGAAGGTGAAATGTCAACTATATGTCAAAACCTATTCGTCTATTACTTTTTACAACGTAACCAAATGCGAAAAATATTTCATCACGCGCTAAGAGGGTTAAATGCTTTTTACATGTTGCATTGCAGCTCCTTTAAAATAGAAGTCAGTATAATGGAAGTCTCTGTCTTGTGGGTAGGAAAACCTGGCAGGCCAGGCAGACTGTCCAAGTCAATACGTTCAGGCCAAATGAAGGCTGCCCACTTTCACCCCTGAAGCAAAAGCAATACAGACACAATTATACGTCATGCTCAGTCACTGTCAAACTTGACATCTATATCAGCAATGAAAGAAAAAAGAAAACTTTCGCACTCCCAAACTACTCAAATCTGGAGATGTCACGGCCAAACAGAATCGTCTTGGTCCAGTCCAGAGGAACTTGCATTCTGAGGCGCCAGTTTCCGAGTTGTGTCAGGTAAGCAGAGCGCCACAAAAACCAGGATGGGACGCCTGAGAGATGGGGGAAAGATACCAGGATAGTAAATTCTTCTATTTAAAAAGAAGGGTTAAGAGATCTATGCAGTGAACTTAAAGACTTTGCATCCACAAAGCTCAGGTTCAACGAAACATTGTCACAGAGATTAGAATTTCAAAAACTTCATTTACTTTATCAAGGAAATATATCTCAATTGTCTGACTCATAAAACAGTTAATAGCTTGCACTGCAAACAGGTCTAACTTGTGTATCTTTCACAGCTCTTGAGTTGGGTAGTTTTAATTGACGCCAGAATTCACTGAGCACATGTGAGCTGGCTGACCCAACTTTGATAGGGTTGGTTAATAGTTGATACTGTCCAATATATATACTTTAAGGTGTAAAGCGCAGTTCGTGGTAATTATCTTTTCACACATTTAGGACATGAAATTCTGCTTTGAGACCATAAAAGTACCAAAATGTTAGCCTCTCAAGTTATTTCATAATACTCTCTTAAAGTCTACATGTCGCATGGCAATTGGTTTTCACAGGCGAAAAATAAAAATAAATGTGACCTGCACTGTAGCCTACCAATAAAATGTTAACTCTACACTCAAAAAAGGCAGCAATGAGCTCAGGCCCTTATTGAAAAACGTCAAGTAATGTCTGTGACATGGTGTTAGGGTGGATGGCCACTGAAGGAGGCCCTTGAGTGAGCAAGACAAGGTAACCCAAGTTAAAAACCAAGGTGCTGTATAGTCGAGACCACTAATTCATGTCTGCATTGAGGTGACATTGTGCACTCTGTGACACTGATATAACATCTCATTTGTATTATCTATTCACTGCATTTGCCATTGCAGCTCACATTACTCTACAGGGATCAATAGAAGTGAAACGTTATTTTATCCTACAGCTAGAAACCTTTCGATTCCAACTGAAACATCTTTCACAATAGGTAAAGTGAAGAAAAGTGAATTCTCTGTCTTGTGTCACACAAGCAAAGTAAATAAGAAATTACTGCCGGAATGCTTAAACTCACAGGTAAAAGAAAGCTGATATTGTCTTGCTGGTTTTTATTTAACACAGTAATATCAGCTTTTTCCCCCCGTATGTTCAACCGTTTCCACAGTAACTTATTGATTTTGCTTGTATGATATGAGAATAAAAGGGTACTGATATAGGGTACATATAGATTTTTAAACAAGAAGTTATCTACAAGCAATACAGCAGACATGTAAGAGCAAATAAAACTGAGACGTATCTGGCAGCGGAGAGTAGGGCAGAGCATTTCAGCACTGAGTTTAGAGAACAGTTCAAGCTTGGACAAGCACTCATCTTGTTTTTCATCCCTCACCTTTAATTTTGAGATTCGGAGTGTCGCTCAGGCCTTCGTATCTCCCGATGTAGGCTAGCATGCCCATACTCTCAAACTTGAATGGCCCCGTCTTGTCCTCATCACAGCCAGAATTCAAGAACTTGGACACATACCGACCTTGCCTCTCAGCAACCTGCCACCCAACAAGACGTTTTAAAACTCAATTTGGTGGGTGATTGGCGGATGCTCTGGTGTGGCTTGCTTCTTCTTACCTATCAGACATGTATCATTTTTATCTTTCTTCCTTCTCTTTTGTGTTTGTTACTCTCTTGTAACACTTTTAATCTTCTGCACTTATATGACCTAATTGTGTTGCAAGTGCCATAAAAACATACTAAAAACTCAATTTCACCTCCATAGTACAACTGTTTGAAGATGTTTACATCATAATTCTTCTAATATTTCCTTCATTTTCATCTCTATATTTGGCTCAACAGTAAACAATAAATCAGTAAGATCAATTGTGATCAGCATAAACTTTTTCTTTTTAATTTCTATCTGCTGTCTATGTGCCCCCCCCCCCCCCCAAACTTATTTCATGTATTGCAAATTTTTCACTAGTTCTCTCAAAATTCAAGGAGTTATTTTTTTTCAATAATTTTTGTTTGTTCTTCACTTGCCAGCAATAACTAACAAACAGCAAACAGTCACATAAAACACAAGGGACTCTCCATGAACACTCGAGTTTTAGTACAACAAAAATTTCTGACATACAAACATGGAACAAAACAAAACCTTGAAACATAACAAGCATCTGTGTCTTTCACTACATATCAATAACAAATTGGACATCATGACCCACTCTCTAAGTTCAAGTTTAAAATCCAAGGCAATTGTGAACTTTTTGAATGTCTACAGGACAGACGTATCAGGAGGACAACAAAAGTACCTGTGCCGTGCAGGGCAGAGACATTTCCTCAATGTCAGCACAGTCCCCGATGGCAAAGATATTTCCACTCTCGTCATTCTTCACTCTCAAGAAACGATCCGTCAAAATCTAAATTTAATTAAAAAAACATGTTACTAAATGAGTATAACGGATACAATAGGTAGGATAAAAGACAATAATAGGTAAAATAAGATTTCACTTTTGAGTTTGAGAAAAGAGAAACACATTGACATTACAACTGCCATTTAGTGCAGGGAAGAAGTAAGACAGACAGACAGACAGAGAGAAGCAATAGAGGGAAAGAGAAGAAACACTACCAACCAGCGATGCCCTCCAACCACCCACAAAATAAGAGAGGGACAAGACATTGGTAAATCATATTATTAAGATGACACAATACAATGACAGATAAGACAGAAGTGATACAAGACAATAACAGATAAAATCTAAGTGACGCAAGATAAAACAAGATGAAACAGGAGAAATACAAGAAAGTCACAGAAAACCTAGTGGTTAGGCTACTGGACTCATTTAATCGTGAGGTTGCGGGTCTGAGGGTTCGAGTGGTAGGCGTACGTTGTGTCCTTGGGAAAGGCACTTTGCACGAATTTTCCTCACTTCACCAAGGTGGAATGGGTACCCAGCCATAGACAGTGAAAGATCTTGTCAGTAAGTTAGTGTTTTAGTGCCTATAAATGGCTGCTTGCACTGTAAGCTTCCCAGGAAGTTGAGGTTGTTTCAGAATGCTCTCAGGTCTGCTGGGGTAATAGTATAGATTTGCGCTAAACAAATGCTATCTATTATTATTAAGACCTAAGTGATGCCAGATAAAAAATGATTTAGTAGAGGTTTTACGGCGCTCGCAACTGCAAAAGGTCATATGAGCGCCAAAGGGTGGATGTCAACAGAGAAGTCCTAACAGGGAATCAGACTTACTCTGCTCACCTCTCTAGCTTCAACAGCACAAGGTCTGCTTCGACTATCAAGGCACCCCGGAAATAGCAGGTCACAAGAGAGTGACAAACATACAAAAGAAGTAGAGGAAAATGATAATAGTAAGGATTAAGAAAGAAAAAGCAGCAATTCCCTGTTGTAGATCAGGCACAGTTATGAGCGTGACATGATGAATCAGCCCATTTACAAATCTACTGTGCTTGAACGAGAAATGTCCCCCCTTTGGGAATGGCCTAAAGACACTGCAGTCAGTGGCACTGCCCCGGGGGGGGGGGGGGGGGGTCCAGATAAAAAAGCAAGATAAAATAGGAGATACAAGACAAAAGCAAACATAATGGAAGTAATACGAAATAATAGAAAATAAAAATGCAACGCCATACGATAAAAAAAGACACAGTTTACTAAAACATGACACCCACCTGACCAGCTTTGTTCTTCTTGACATCAAGCGAGCGTGTGAGGTCTCTGGGTGACAGACCTGTACTCCACACCACCAGACCACAAGGTATCACTGAGCCATCTTTGAGCGTCACACTCGTGGGGCTCACCTCTGGTATTTGAAAAAAAGAAGCAAAATTCTGCATTGTAAAACTTAAGGTGTGCGTGCTTGTTGTTTTAGTAGAGGTTTTACGGCGCTCGCAACTGCATTAGGTCATATGAGCGCCAGAAGATTAGAGGTGTTACAAAAGAGTAACAAACATAAAAAAGAAGAAGGGGAGATAATGATGATAGATGTTTGATAGGAAAGAAGAAGCAAACCACACCAGAGCACCCGCCAACCACCCACGGTGTGTGTGCGTATACGGTGAAACTCACATTTACTGAACTTGGGACTCGATGAAAACAGACTCATCGAAAGGTAGAGAGCAACCCAATTTTTCTATTCATCAAAATCTATTAATTACTTTGCACTTATGGAAGAGCTAATAGCTCTCATAGTAACTAAGAAGCCACCGTCTCCCTTGGCAGCAATCACATTGTTAATAATTAGTTTTAGTAAGAGTCTTACGGCACTTGTAACACAATAAACAAATACCAAAAAAAACAACCCCCACTGTTAATACTGTTAACAATCTTAACCTAAATCTGAAGAAAAAATACCTCCCCTCCTCCAATACGAGACAACTACAGGATATCAAGTCTAAGACAAATAAAAGTTTATAAATCACATACAGTCAAAATTATCAAAGAATGCCACCAACTGTCGAGGAGTAAAAGTGGTTGTGTTAGACAGGTGGACATCTTGAACGGCGTCAGTCATTATGTCATTATTCTTTTTTTTTAAAACCCACTGGGGGGGGGGGGAGCCGTAAATGGTCATTTGTTTATAGGTTATTGTCGTGGACAGGTGGTCAATACAGCAGGTCCGATTGTATTTTTGCACATCAACAAACCTGTTACAGATGACTGGACCAGCTTAAATCCTTTACGCTGTTGAATCTTCTTCTCAGCATATGCCTGCAGTCTTGCATCAAATGAAGAGAGGATTTGATTCGACTCCACAAGAGTCACTTGAACTTGGTCCTGTTTTTGCTTATAAAATCTTGCCACATCCTGAATTTTTAAAAAATGATACATGATGAGACCAAGGCTTTTTTAGTGTGAAGACAGAAGTTGAAACTATTATATGAGTAAAAAAGAGCCAAAAGATTGTCTATATGTCATCAGTATCCCGACGAAACCTTACTAACTCAAATATTCGTGAAATCGTTTTTTGCACAAAAAGATTCCTGATACCTTGATGCACAGCAGCACAATACTAAATACAGATTCAAACTTCAGATGCTTGAAAATGCAATTTAATTTCGCATTGAACCTTGTTAACCATCACATGGACATAAGTGATTTATCTTCCTCCATGATTTCACTTGATGGGTTGAGGGACAAAGAAGTTCTCACCCACACAGAACGTATGATGGTTCATTAGCCAGCCATTGGGACATCCGAACAAGTTAGACATGAGCATTTAGAGACAACCCAAAGATAACGAGGTTAGAAAATTGTATTGTCAGGGGAGCGTAAAATATAAAAAAATTCATTAATTCATCAAAAATGACAACATACGGTACACTGAAAAAAATCAAAACAATTTGAACTGCCAGACAATTTACTCTATCCAGTATACAGTCTTATTAAAAAACTTTAAACGTTGTGGGTTTCTTCACTTTAGACATACCAGAGCCCAATTTTACAACTGTCTCATGCGAAAGTGTTCCTTACCTGCTCAACAAAGTCATAGAGCTCAGCACCAAACTCAACGCCAGTAGGCCCTCCCCCGACAATGACAATGTGTAGAAGGCGTTTGCTTTCTTCATCATCGATTCTGGGCTGGACGGACAGCTCAAAGTTGCTCAAAATCCTGTTGCGGATCCGACGAGCGTCTGCAATTTCCTGAGGGAAGAGGAAAGAAGGAAGGGAAACAGACAAGGTGAGTAATGAAACCTTTAAAAAGTTTTAGTAACAGTTTGACAGCACTTGCAACACAACTACGAATTACAGTAAGGAAAGATAGAAATCTTTAATTCTAAGCTGCCACATTTTTTTACCACAATTTGGAATGAATCTAACTCTAGTGCATGAAGAAAATTTATAGAGGTGAAAAAGAAAAATATGCAGAACTTGAAAAATACCTGAGTGAAAATGTTGATTTAGACATCAATGGAAAGTTAAATGAACGAAAAATGACGATACAAGCAAACTAAACTATATTCTCATAAGAAATAAGTTGGTTATGAAAGGAGAGTGGTGTAAAAAAAACAACCCATCTTTCACTTTCATTCAGATAAACAGTCTTTAAGGGGTGTTAAGGGGGGGAGGGGGCCTACACTCTCAAAGTCCTGATTCGGGTCAAAATTATGGAATTTGAGTTGTAAGCATTTTTAGCTTCCTCAGCCTCTCCTACAACTATTTAATTGCATTAGAACCCCCAAAAACCTGACTTCTTCCCATACCGGGCATGTTTGTCACCATTTCCTCATAAAGTCAATATTTTATTTTTCTTTAGCGGGTGTTTTTGTTGGTGGTGTCTGGAGTGTGGATTTTCACGGATTTTTTTCAAATTTGAATACTACCTCAGGAAAAAAATCATTAAAAATTTTCTACTTCGTTTAAGAACAAAACAACACAAAAATTTTTACATCTGTTTGTTAACACGTATGCAAAAAAAAATTGATTAATTTCCATGAGCGATAAGTGCGGTATTCATCGCATAAGATATGTCAACAAAATCCAATATGGTCGCCGTATCCATGAAAAAACTTTTTTCTCAAATTTGATAGCGGATTTTAAGACTCCTTACTATGCTTGTTATATGTGTGAAATTTGATAAAATTTGGTCTGCTCATAAGCGAAATAGCTTTCAGGTGTAGCCCCCCCACCCCTCTTAATATTTTGAAAGGTGAGCAAGGTTTAGTCTATTACTGTCAAAATTATCCCAACAGAACCATGCTAAATGAAACTTGTAGATCCAGCGCAGATACACACAGACTGCCCTAAACTAATAACTCTACTTAGAAGCACCAAACATTTCTGGTCTTTCATACTAGTAAAACCTTATAAAAGTAAAATGAATATCTAAGATCAACAATAAAAGAAACAAAATTATGACTGCACTATCCAAAGCCATTCGCGCCAATAACAGACGCCGACACATCAGCACTTTGTAGGCAAAAAAGATTCAAACTCATGATATAGCAAAACACCAATGGTACAAATGTGAGGCAGCATGGTGGAATCAATCAGGCTCTCGTCAAAATAATCCAAGTGAAGAAACTTGCATTTTTCTGCAGCTTGTAAATTTTTATCACATTTTTTGGGGGGGCTTAACACCTTTCATGCCCATTAAAGAACTCTTTTCCATGAGGATTTTTCTGAAAAACATTGATTACAGGCACAAAAAAATGTATATTTTCAGTTACCACGGACTCTTAAGCAAAGTAAAAAACTCTAATTTTACCTCTGAAAACAGGTGACCCCCACCTCATTCATTCGCCAATATTTCGACTTGTATTTAAGATAAATGGATATTTTTTTCATCCTAATAAAGATAAGTGAACAAGCTTGAAGATGATATCAATAACTCTACATGCCCCAAAATTGACGAGAGCCTGATTCCACCACACTGCCTCACAAATGACCACGTCATTTTCACTTGACTTACTTTGAGGAAAAAGGCGTTCTCATTCACCCCAGGGACTCCAAAAGTGTTGGTGAGAGCACCAACCCCAATAACCAGTTTGTCAAACGGGAGATTGTACTGTAAATCTGGCTGCAGGACACTGGTACAAGCTATCTGCTGCTGTTCAGTGTCTACTTGGGTCACATACGACAGATGGAAGTGAGCGGACTGCCGAAACCCTGTGTTCCTCACTGGTTCAATGATGGATCTGAAGGCACATAATAAAGAGATACTTTCAATTTTAAAAAAAATAATTTTAACCCTCAACTAGATTTCTATCGTTTTGGATTATTGTTTGAGCTAAAAATAAAATAATCACAAAAGAATACAGATTGAAACTTACAATTCAAAAGTAATTAAACTTCACAAGGAGGTTGGGTGGTTGGCGGGTGCTCTGGTGTAGTTTCCTTCTTCTTTCCTATCAAACATCTATCGTCCTTATCTCCCCTCCTTCTTTTTTGTGTGTGTTACTCTCTTGTAACACCTCTAATCCTCTGGCGCTCATATGACCTTATGCAGTTGCGAGCGCCGTAAAACCTCTACTAAAACTAAAACTAAACTTCACAAGGAGGTTATGGTCTGGAAAGAACGATTTGAAAAATCAACAAACTACAACCAACAACACATTTTCAGATTAGGATTGACAAAACTCCAACCGCTAAAACATTTTTAATATGGCCAATGACAGTCCTAAGCCAGTATAAACACAAAATGAAAATGAAAATTGATCCTTGTCATAATCCCCAAGACTGTATAAACTGGTAGACCTTCCAACGATACTAAACCAGTTGTCAGACCGGTCCTGCAGTAGATCTTCCACTAAACCAGCACCCAAAATCCATAATGAAAACTACCGTATACTTTGAAACAAAACTGATTATGAAAACCACACTCTCGAAGCCAAGGCAGCTTCCCCTCACCTGAACTCCAGCGTGCCCACAGTGGTACTACATAGCAAAGGGGTAAACAGGAAATGGTTCCTTGGGCTCACGACAATCACATCATAAATCTTCTTGTCAATGTTTTTCAGCACACTGTAGCCGCTCCAGCCTGTGCCTAGAATTACCAAAGTTTTGCGCTGATTTCCGTTGCTAGAGCTTTTAGCTCTCACTTGGGACATCCAGCAGCTCCTCCTGTGATGGAGTAACGAAAAAGTAGAGGAGTGTGAATTAAAAAACATAATTTGATGAACAACTTCCGAAATCTCTTTAGAGAAATCATCAATATTTGATTTAAAAAAGCAATAATTTAAACTGTGAGTGCCAATTCCAAAAAGAACCATGGACATTCAAATAGCATTCCAAACACATCAGTTTGAATGAAAAATCACTTCATCTTCATTTGAGTGAATCCAACATGCTAAGCACAATCTGGCCTTTGTGAACACCCCCCCCCCCCCCCCCCCCTGTGCACACAACACACTTGACTTACAAAGCCAGATGAATTTTTGTTATCTTCAAAATGTGAGCATTCTGTACTGGGGTTAATACAGACAGTCAGATACTCCTGTTACTCAAAAGAAAATAGTGATCATACATAAAACTTACCTGTACCGTAAAGAAGACTTGAGGCTTTTCCTGGAGGAAAATGCCTTGTAAAAACATCGCCTGTACATAAAAAGAGCTGCCGCACTTGTATCTGCCAGCATTTTGCCTGTGCACAAGCTCACTTTCCTACAAATGGGAAACAACAAGGAAATTCAATATCAACAAAAATTTTGGGGAAGAAATTGTTTGAAAAGGAAAGTTAAGTGTTTATACCTAGCTTTTTTTTCTCCATAATTCCAGTAGGATGCAGACACAAGACAAGCTTTCCTTGAGAATTCATCATTTTTACAAAAATGATTGTCCCCTTATGTTGAAGAATGGTACAAAATACCATGATAGCACATGGAAATGGAAAGCAGTATTTTAATTAATTTATACAGTGGAATAAGGAGTGCAAATACCTCAAACGTGATCTGCTTTACTGCCAAGGAAAAACTATTCCACTGAAATAAAGTGAACTTAAAATAATATGACAATAAACAAATTGAGTGAAAGTTTACAACGCAAAATGTAAAAAAACAAAAAGTTGCGAACTTATGAAGGAAGAAATAATTGATGCTAAATATATTTGTAGTCAATTAAAACAAAAAATTAATTTAATTATATACAAAGAGGATAATATCATTTTTATAAAAATGAAAACATGACTCATAGAGCAGGACTTCCCTGCATTTTAATAATTCTATACAGAACCCCATGACCTAGAAATCATTATGTGTACAATGATAAATGATTAACTTTCAATATTAAAAATGTATAGGAACTTACAATGAAGAGTAATCAACTCCTTTGTTCTTTCTTCACTTTCCTCTTCGAATCTGGGGCATTCACATTCTCTCCTTTATAGAAATTTTTCAACAAACTCACAGCATCGTCAGCAAGAACACCACTAATGGCATCAAAGGTTGGTCCAATATTTGAGGTAATTGCCTTATCACAGGAAACATCAATTATTGATCCACAACCACCAAATCTTTCATTTCTGCAACCATACACAACAAGGGGAATCTCAATTTGCCTTAAAGCGCCAGCACACATAATACATGGCTCCACTGTGACATACAGAATAGATGACTTAAAAACATCTTTAGATGAAAGTTTCTTTTCAGCACAATATGTACGGACTTCCTCTATGGCTATAATCTCGGCATGCCGTGTTGCATTTTTTGTCTTGTTCACTTCGTTGCCTCCATTCGCGATGATCTTGTCATCATATATGATGATGCAGCCAACCGGAACTTCCTGTGCCTCTAGCGCTCGTTGTGCAAATCCCAGAGCTTTTCTCATCCACCCAAGATGGCAGTCCAAAGCTGTGGTCATGTCCTGAAGACACAATTGAAAATCACAATTACTTACACAAAAGAGTGCAACTAGAAAAATCTACTAGTGTTTCAATAATGTTAGCAAAAATCCTACAAGCCAAATACCACCACCCTCGCTTGGGGCAAGCATGAAGTTGTTGGGAATAGTGAGGCTAGCAGGACTTCTTCGTCAAAAGAAATGTGTGGTCATGTTTAAGTCTTCCCTCGTTGACACTTCTTTTTTCACTAATGTGCAAATTGTTTATGCTGTGTGTGCTTTGAATACAAACAAAATAAAACAAGAAAAAAATTTGTTCGCTATGTGAGTGCTAGACTGTTGTAAAATACTCAGCTAAGAATGAAGATTTGATATGATTACAGTTGCAGCACAAAAACAAGCAAGCAGAATATTAATAAACAGTGGAACTCGGATTCAACAAAGTTGCCTGGCCTGACCTTCAATTGCCTTTTTATTTCGTTGAATCCGAGTGTTCATTATAGCAAACATGAAGTTTTTGTGTTGACAATTACAGGCACCGAGCAAGTAACGTACTATAATGCATTCTACTTTCTCAACTAAAAGTTGTTTGGTTTCAAATGAGAGGCATTTTCGTTTCTGTTCATGCCATTCCTAAGAAATGCTCGAAAGCAGACTGAACGCTACCAAGCATACTGGGTGAAAAAGGGTTGATTCGTTCAATTGCCCGCCTGAGTCATCTATAATCTATAACATACTATTTGCAGAATAAGTACGTTGCTGGGTAGAGCCTAGCATGTGGCAACGTTTGATTGCACAGTTCAACACAGATATATGATTAAAAATAATAGATCTATGTCAAAACTAGCTTATCATTTTAATATAGATCAATAGGTGTGGGAAAAAAAATAACTGACGTGTTTGTATCTCTACTAGTCTACTGACGTTCCCCACTCAGACAGCTTGTGCCTCTCCCCACAGACCCACACACACTCACACGTCACACTTGTGCTGGCCGCCCGTCCAACCCCAACACACGCTAAGACATGACATGTGTGTGCCTATTAATAAACGCGTGTGTTGCAATGAAAGAAGGTCGCTGATTGGTCTCATAAGGCTAAAAACAAATAACGGTTAACATTGCAGTACCAAGGTCGGCTTACAGCAACAGATATATATGGTTCGTTACAGGAGAAAAAATGAGCGAAGCCTCATCAGCGGGTGCTGTTCACCATGCAAGCGACTTAATTGAAATGGAGCCTGCTAATTTATGTGTTCGTAAAATCCAAGTTATATTTATTGCTTTTAATTGATAAGAACATCTGGGAATCCAACTCCTTTTGTTGAATCCGAATTTTCGTTGAATCCGAGTTTGTTGAATCCAAGTTCCACTGTATTTTAGACCATATTTTAACCAGT